AGATGTCAGTTAAATAGTACCACATTTTAGCAAATTATTTTGCATTAAATAAAAGCGGGCCTGTGTCATGGTCCAGTTACTGAGGAAGATTTTAAAAATTGGATGAGTGTAAAACTTAATCTTTTTTCTAAATTCCCAGTATTTCTTTGCCTTTATTAGATGTGCAGCCCTGCTCCTCACCTCACGCTGAATGGCACCGCACCAGTAGCCACCCGGGTTGAGTGTGAATAGGCAAACTCTCATGCACCTCTTGAATCTCATAGAAAAAAAAATTCAGGGATGAGGTAAACCTGGTCTGGAGCACAGCTTGATGATCCCGTTCTGAAGCTCCTCTGTGTGTGTGGTCCCTCCAGCCGCTGTTTCATGGTCTAATTGTCATATGTGGTAGCCATACTGTTTTGGTGCTGAGAATGGTTTGTAAGTCCTGTGGAAATACCTGTCCACTGGCTGCAAACTGAGGGACTGGGAAAGCCCATTGGAGTTGGTAAGGCTGCAAGTGGAAGGTGCAGGCAGGAAACATTCGTCTCTTTCCTTCTGCTTCTAGCCGACAGCTAGATTTTGGAGCAGGACGGTGATTTTTGGCTGCTAAATTACAAGCCTTCTTCCACAAACCAAAAGAGACCAGGTTCATTGAACTGAGACCAATATGCATCTATGGAGACTTCCAAAAGGGTATTTAAACACCCTGTGCATGACTGTACAATGGCAGAAGAACAAAATGTCATGCTTGCAACTTCTAATGTTGCAAATAATCCTCCTCATAAGTATAGAGAACGTATAATTTTGTGTTCAGAAATATGTCTAACTGAAACTTTTGAGAAATTTAAAGCAGATGCCCCTTTTCAGGGAATATGGCCTCTTCTCAATGGCCTCGCAGCTTAAATTGATGCATCTCTCCATCTCTGGGTTGGACTGTGTGTGTTCTTCCAAGTAAAAAAGTTGTGGGTTTTTTCTTTTCTTTCAGGGATGATGCATTTTTAGGGTTTTTATGATTGACCAGGTAGAGAATATATCTGTATGAATTGTTTTTGAGAGAGGATAAGTGCATTGTAGTTACAGTATAAGCACATTTTAGAAAAGAACAAGGAGCATGTTTTACATTGGTCTTTGAAACCAATAAGAATAAATTTGTTCAGCGGTAACAATAAGCTATTTGAGATTTTGACATTTGGTGTTCAGCATCAGCTTTGGAGATTAGAATGCACTGAAAGAAATTGGCCAATGGAAAACTATTAGTGGCGTTCATTTAAGCTAAATTTGTTTAACGATTTTCAATATATAAATAATACAGGAAAGAGCCTTCTGTCCTGGAAAGAATGTGAGGACTACTCAAGTTTCTTCTTCAATATTCAGACTAATTTATGCAAGTCTGAGCAAATAAACTTTTAAAACTTTGAAGTAATTTAAAAAAAAAAAAACAACACTGTATACAGTCCATAAATACTGAGGATACTCTATTTAGTGTCAATATCAGGAAAATAACATTTTAAATTTTTATATACACAAATACACATTTTTATAGGAGAGGCCTCAAGCATCCTTGATGACAAGTAAAAAGGCCATTCTTTTTAAAGCAGAGACCATTCTACACAATAGCTCCATCACCACACAACTCCCACCATGCATTGCACACACAGTAGATCAAGAACTTGTTCAGACCAAGAGAATAACATGCCATCCCTTCCTCCAAATAACACACCATCCCTTCCTCCAAAACACATTGCAAGCAATATGTGTATGCATGCATGTTCTCACCATGGAACAGATGCACAAATCCTTAGTTTCTTGGGTAGCTGCTCAGGTAATGCTGACAGTTCCTGTTTTCTGCCTGGGAGAACTATTTGTCTAGGAATATGGCTTTTCTAAGAAGAAAGGAGCAGCCTCAACTTAGAAAACATGTTATCAAATTAAGTAGCTATTCTGAAGTAATTTTCTACTAGCACCAGAGGACCTGCAGGAATAGAGCAGAATTACAGCCTTCACACTACCTAATACAGACCTGTTTGCTCTTTCCAACTCCCATTTATGCAGTGGAAACATATAAGAGTTCAAGTCAGAGAGTTGCACTGCTTAGCATGAAAGCTTGGGAGGACTTGGTGAAACCCTTGCCTTCGGGCTATGGGTGCACTGCCAGTAATCTAGGCGGGAATAAAACTGCCCACTATGCCAAAATTATGTACTAGATGAATTTCATTACTTTCTGCCCAAATCCAAATGGGCATAATAGGACGAGAGGAAACGGCCTCAAGCTGCGCCAGGAGAGGTTTAGGTTAGACATTAGGAAAAACTTCTTCACCGAAAGGGTGGTCAAGCATTGGAACAGGCTGCCCAGGGAAGTGGTTGAGTCTCCATCCCTGGAGGTATTTAAAGAACGGATGGATGTGGTGCTCGAGGACATGGTATAGATGGACTTGGCAGTGTTAGGTTAACGGTTGGACTCGATGATCTTAAGGGTCTTTTCCAACCTTAATGATTCTATGATTCTATGATTCTATAAATAATGCACAACTCAATGAGGAGACTGAGAAAAACTATTTGTTGTGGCTTAACCCCAGCCAACAACTAAGCCCCACACATCCGCTCACTCACTCCCCCCAGTGGGATGGGGGAGAGAATCAGAAGGGTAAAAGTGAGAAAACTCGTGGGTTGAAATAAAGACAGTTTAATAGGGAAAGCAAAAGCCGCACACGTAAGCAAAGCAAAACAAGGAATTCATTCGCTACTTCCCATCAGCAGGCAGGTGTTCAGCCATCTCCAGGAAAGTGGGGCCCTATCACACATAACAGTTACTTGGGAAAACAAACACCATAACTCTGAATGTCACCCCTTCCTTCTTCTTCCCCCAACTTTATATGCTGAGCATGAGGGGAGACTTTATCACTCTCTACAACTACCTGAAAGGAGGTTGTAGAGAGGTGGGGGTTGGTCTCTTCTCCCAAGTACAAGTGATAGGACGAGAGGAAATGGCCTCAAGTTGTGCCAGGGGAGATTCAGATTGGATATTAGGAAAAATTTATTCACGGAGAGAGTGGTTAGGCATTGGAACAGACTGCCCAAGGAAGTGGTACAATCACAGTCCCTGGAAGTATTCAAAAAACTTGTGGATGTGGTGCTTAGGGACATGGTTTAGAGATGGATCAGGCAGTTAGGTTAATGGTTGGACTCGATGATCTCAGAGGTCCTTTCCAACCTTAACGATTCTATGATTCTGTGATGTCATATGGTATGATGCAATATCCCTTTGGTCAGTTGGGGTCAGCTGTCCCAGCTGTGTCCCCTCCCAACTTCTTGTGCACCCCCAGCCTACTCGCCTGTGGGGTGGGGTGAGAGGCAGAAAAGACCTTGAATCCCTGTGTAAGCACTGCTCAGCAATAACGAAATCATCCCTGTGTTATCAACACTGTTTCCAGCACAAATCCAAAACATAGCCCCATACAAGCTACTATGAAGAAAACTAACTCTAGACCAGCCAAAACCAGCATATTATTCTAATTTAATAACCTGATTATGAGGAGTTTCTGCATGTACTTTTTGTCCTAATAGTTCAATACAGAAATCTGGTAATGTTTTGGAGTAATATGGATAAACTTTATAGACGAGTCGAGTCCACTGGGCAACAATGGCAAGCAAGACTGCTCTGACCTGAATCTTTTTAGAGGTCCACCCGCTGCTATTAAAGCATATCTTCCCTTGACAGCTGCTCACCTAAGCCATGCTACTGATTCTGTGCTATAGGAAAAAAAAAAAAAATCTTTGTTTTACATTCTATCATCTTCTCCAGTTTTCTGCACTTCTCGGAGGCAGACTCGTGACTGGGGTCCATCTATGTACCTGACATTCCCACTGAATAGAAGCTGCACAGAGTATTGATGAACTGTAGATGTTCATAGTAACACAAGACAGAAACGGGAGGTCTTCTTTGGAGAATTTTCTGTGCTTGAGAGAGAGTAAAGCAGGAAAACAACTCCACTGTTCCTTCCTTCCTAACTGAGAATGGTTCCCTGAAATATTTCAGGAAAAAAATCTATAATAAATGTTCCTTACTCCATTTGCTCCTACTAGAGAATGTCTTCTAACTCTTCTGCAAAAATTTCACTTTTGAAGACTGCATGGTACGTGTCTCTGCAGTAGCTAGGGCTGTAATTTCTCCAACTCACCCTACCAGTGGACAGGTATTATATGCTACTTATTTTACTCATCTTACGCTTGATATAATTCAAGAGTACTTTCTTGTAACCCTTGAGAGAAGATTACTTCAACAAGGAAAATAAATGGTAGGAAAGCTCTTTTCTCCATTCATCTACTGCATGTCCCCTGCAAACTTCTTTGTGCAAAAGAGGTGATGTGGCACTGCGTGTCAGCATGAGCAGACATGAGTTTGTGTTCCTATGAGATCAAGCATCTAAAAGGAGCTGGGTTTCCCCTCCTTTGAGAATTTGCCTCCTCTAAGGCAGGGTTATGCCAAACCCTTAACATTTAAAACTTACAATTAAACTTTACAACAAGGGTGTCTTTAAGAACTACAGATGCATGAGATGCAGGACTTGGGGGGTGGAGAAGAAAAATGTTGCCTTTTGGGCTATTTTAGCTTCTCGGTGTACACTTGGCTTATGATCTTATTTCTTTGCAACAGTGAGGCTTCATAATTAGCTTGTATCAACAAAGTCTTAATCTAGGACATAGATTAAAAAAAGAGAAGGAAAGTTTCAAAATTCACACTAAGTTTTCAAAAGCTGGCAACACTGATGAGAACTCAAGTTGATCATCCAAAACCAGAAGCCATGCAGTAAATTCCTGACCTTGGTCACTTTGCGGGGACAAAGAAGAGGGGGTGGCCACTGTATTGCAGCAATGTGAGCCTCAAGTTGATTTTTTTGTCCAGAGTCAGAAGTTGCCCTGAGTGTTTCTGTGCAGCTTTCACTTGGAGAAGGGGTGTGTGCTAGACTTGGCTTGTTTTGCTCATAATATAAATACCTTTTTTTTCTTTTCTTGTTTTTCAGCAACAGTTGGCCAAGAATATAAAATTTGGGCAGCCTCCACAAATGACAGTTTCTGTAAGGACAATGGGGGAGGCAAACGCCAGTATAGAAGAGGATGTGTTGCTCAGTAGCCCCATGGAGATCGAGACTCAGCAGGACACAGTGATCTCAGACAGTGGTAATAAAGTAAGCACTTTAAATCGACATATTCATGGCATTATAGCGGTATTAAAAGAGTAAAGTTCACTGGGGCGTAGCAGATGTCTCCAGTGAGGCATAGCTGAGCTCAGCGGGCTGTTTTATGTGGGTGGGATCTCTCAGCTCGTGCTTCTTGGACTGGTGAGACGCGTGTGCTCTTGGCATCCTGAGCCGGGTCCCCAGAATTACTGGTTTGAACGTCTGCTCTGAACTTCCAGCAATGCAGACATCACTCGCAGTGTAGCTAGAAGACAGGAAATTTTTCTGAGACAGAAAATGTCATGAAATATGGACTTCCCAGCATGGAAAGTTGTGCACAGCATCAAATGGCAACAAGGAAAATCATTCCAAAATGAGGGCTATCTGGAGCCTAAATCTGTAAAATCCTGGGTCTTGGGGTAAATATCCATATTCCTCGTGGACAGGAACTGAAGGGAAAGGGGGAGAAACATTTTGAGAATGCTCCCTAAATCCAAACGTCCAGTATAATTCAAATAATTATTCAAATTATCCATGAAGATTTTGATACCGGGAACTGTAGGCATTCAGATGTCCAGAAAGGGCTTGTTCAGGCAGTGAAGAAACACAGCAAGTGATGGAAGCTCTCTGGAAATCCCCTAAAGTGAGACTGGTTCTGTGTGTTGCTGTAATGGCTGAAGGGAGCATGAGGGACAGAGGGACATCCTTCCCTGCCCGGAGGAGACTGACTTTGTGCCTGGGAACCCTTGGGGAAGGCACGCAGCAACCCACCATGTGCATGCAGCCTGTAAGATCCTGGAGGGACACCAGGGCATGGGCCTCAGCTCCTGTTCACTAGCACTAGTGCTAGCTGTGTGAAAAGCAAAGGCAGTAAGTGACCTCTGCAGCTCATGCCTATATTCAGCCAAACACGCAGAAGGGAGAGATCCATGGCTCACATGGCCCAAATTCTTCATCAGCCTTCAAGGGGCAACACAGCTCCTCTGTGACCACTTTGCGGCTGTGGTCGGGTCTGTCAGGGAACCAGGCATTTGGGTAGGACCTGCACACTCACGCCTCTCCCTCTGCAGTCTGGAAGGATAAAAATGCAGTTGAAGTAAGGTATATTTCTTGTGCTTCACCAATACTCCCTTTTGAAGTAATCAGTTAAGGTGAATCAAGAGCATCCTGCACGCACAAAAAGTGCAGTGGGATTGCGGACAGGTTTTGGCTATGCACCCTGGTACTAGGCGAGACTCTGTGTTTGATACCAACATACATTCTCTGCAAACAGCCTTCTTGCTGGGTCTGCAGGACACCTGAATGTCACCTAGTGTCAATTCAGCTCGAAGGAGAAAATAATTCAAGCACTAAAAAAACACTAGGATATCTTTGTGTAATATGGAGGGAGAGATTCGGTCCTTACAACCTACTCTGTTAAATATTATGTTTTGAAAACAAAATTAATGCCCCTTTGCATAGTTCTTTTTCCAAATACTGAAGGAGGAAACTGCTACTCAGAGGAGATTGCAGACACCAACAAACCAACGTTACATGCATAGGGTCAGCCAGAGCACTTGGTACTTTCCTCTTTTACTGTGCGTTACTCATTAGAGATTCCTGGTGCACGGCAGCTTGCCTGGTTTCTGCTCCTGTCTCTGCTGTGGGCCTTGTAACTCCTCTGTGTGTTTATCTGCACAGGTCCTGGGGGGACGGGGTGGCTTCTGTCAGGAGTTGGTGGCCAGGACCACATAGCACTGCTCTACTGCAAACAGGTTTCCCGCGTTGCTTTGTGACTTTTGATTTTCCCGACTGAGTAACTTGGATCAATGGCGAGAGATCTGCGCTTCGTTTAACCTCTATTTGTAAAGCTGTTTTTTTAGGCTTTATGCTAACAATCATGTACACCTGGTGAAATGGGATCCCAACATTCATTAGGTTATGAGTAATACTGTGATATAACGATTAAAACCAATGTTTCTGGGTGTGATGAAAGCTGCTTCAATCCCTGCGCCTTAAAAATCCTCTCCTGTGAGATGGCTAGGAGAGGGACGGTAGCTAAGGAGTCCTAGTGACTGATAGGCAATGATTGCTCTGGGGGAGCCAGTTTGCTTTGTAAGAAGAGGAGTTGTCAAGAATCTGGAGTTGAAACTCTTTGCAGCAGAGGTAATGCCTGATCAGGTTCCTATTTTTTTTCCTTAGCTGTAGGTCAGGAGAAAATAAAGTTATTAAGAGCTGATTGAAATCCTACAAAGCTGTGCTCTTTCTTTTGATTTGGAACCTGGTTATCTCGCTAAGGAAGCGTGAGTGTTTTGCCTTTTGTAGTGTCTTGTAGCAGCATCTGCTTCTGTATAGACAGCAGTGATTCAAGGACCAGCAAAGAAACCCATAGCATTTAGGAACAAGAATTGTTTATCCATCAATCCTGCAGTGACAGGGAACAGGGTAAAAATCCTACTCTAACATGCATGATTTCACAAGTCCTTTGAATCGTATTTATTAGATCCTTTGCATTTTAATATCTGGCTGTGGTAATCTTGTTTTCTAGTCCACTGACACCCCAGATTTGTTGAGAACAATGAAGTTGCCTGGAACAGGACATGAGGTGGAAGAAAAGGTAACAAAACTTTTACACTCAGTTTGCACCAAGTTAATTTCTAATTTTAGTTATGAGAAGCTTGACAGCCAGTTTTTGCTTTAATACCCATTTCATTGTTCCATGATCATCCAAGATTTTGTGAACATTGCACAGTCTGGCAGCTAGTCAATAAGCAATAACTAAGATTGAGAAATCTGTAAGAGCTGATTGCAGGAAACAGCAGAACTCAGTCTCTGCCAGTCTTGCAGCATTCCT